ATATATATATATATATATATATGTTCAGCTATAATGTTGATTTCTAAACAGTTACACAATGAAAACATACAGCAGGGACCAAAAATCTGAAACCACAATGAAAATTTGAGATTCAAAATCAAATTTACACCAATTTAAAATTTTGAAAACATTAAATAATAATAACAGATAAAATACTTGGTCAAATTCCCATATATTTTTCAGTTCAACTTTTCACTATTTTTATAATGTATATAATTTGTAATAAAAAGAACAGCAGTTTAAAAGATCGAGGTCGGTAAGATTTTTTAATGTTCCTGTAAGTCTCTAATGTTCACCAAAGGCTGCATTTATTTAATAAAAAAATACAGTGAGACAGTAATATTATGAAATACTGTATTATTCAAATATTTAAAACAATGATTTCTAATTTAATAAATTGTAAAATGTAATTTATTCATGTGATGGCAAAGCTACTCCAGTCTTCAATGTCACATAATATACTGATTTGGTGCTCAGAAAAAAAACAAAAACGCTTCTTCTTATCAATTTGGAAAACAGTTAGTCTGCTTAATATGACAACAAAAATCACTAGTGGTTTCAAACTTTTGAAGCCAGTTGTACATTATCATCATCATACATTGCTAAACACAGTATGTAAGGCTTTTTAAAACATTAAACACTGATTTTTTTTATGATCATTTCAAAATGAATATAGTGTCCATCTGCCTTCCTGAGAGTTTCCCTTTTGGTTCTAACAAAAGTTGTTCTTCATTAGCTTCTTGAAACCAGGTTCAGCTCAAAATCAACTTTTAACCCTTTCATATGTACATTCACTTTCTTGAGTGTCAAGTATTCTATCAATAAGATTTATGAAGGCCAGTGATGAAAGAAAGGCTACAAACTACAAAAATAAAATCTCTAATACACTACGAGGCACATTAAAACACCACAAAGTTCCTTAAGTACTCTCTCGTCCATGTAGAGTGTTTTACATGGTATCAAAAATAAGGTATTCAAAGATTACATGTACCACAGCACAGAAGTTATATGAAGTGACTCACCCACATGTGTCTTTAAAACTAGAGCTGAATCTGATTAAAGTGATGTAACTGCAGCTGTTCTGTGGTACATACATTTTAAAGCAAGTGTCTTGTGTGGCCTCTCTACTCAGGTCCGGTGGTTGTGCTGTGGCTCTGGAAGGGGATGTTCATGGCTCCTGTGCTGGTCTGCTCGGGCCAGATGGGAGACTCGTGCTGCAGGGGTGTGCGTCTGGGGTAGAAGGTGTGCTGGAGGTCGTAGTTCAGCAGACAGCTGAGGGACGCCATGTAGATGTCGGCGAAGCGGGAGAGACGGCGCGTGAAGTAGGTCGGGTTGTGGTATGTGCGGAAAAGACTACCAAACTGGGCGTTGAAGATGTCTTTGGTACGTAACCTGTTGGAAACCAATTGTTTTTAATAATTGGATACAAAAAAAATGACCATTTTTGGCCATTTCAAGCTCAATTCGAATAAAATACAACAACTCAAAACACCTAGGTTCATCTACAGTATAACATTTTCTCTATGCCATCAATACACTGTAGTCTACTGTATACATTGGTTAGAAGAAAAATCATTTCTGAATGATTTTCAATGTCAAGTTTCTCTATAATGAGCCCAAATGTGTGTGTCTGTCAAGGTTATTGTAGTTAAAGGGATAGTTCACCCAAAAATCTAAATTCTGTCATTAATTACTCATTGAATAAAGTCGGTATTTTTTGTTTTCTTTGTGCACAAAAAGTATTCTCGTAGCTTCATAAAATTACAGTTGAACCACTGATGTCACATGGACTATTTCACTGATGTCCTTACTACGTTTCTTGAACGTGTCAGTTGCATTGCTGTCTATGCAGGGTCAGAAAGCTCTCTGATTTCATCAAAAATATCTTAATTTGTGTTCCAAAGATGAACAAAGATCTTACTGGTTTGGAACGACATGAGGGCGAGTAATTAATGATAGAATTTTCATTTTTGACTGAGCTATCCCTTTAACTAAAACTAATACCATCAAAATTTATTTTACTTGAAATAAAATAAACATTAACAGAAATAAACTAAAATATTAAAAAAAAAATCTAAACTTGTTTTATTTCAGCTAGGGCAACATTTCTTATTTTCATTTAGTTTAACTTGATATAGTAAAATAACTATAACTACAACTGAAATAAAAATGTATAAATACTATATAGACAAACTCTAAAATTGACTGTTTGTAAAATAAAATTATAAAGAAAAAAAAATAAGTTACCTTAATAAAAAAAATATATATTAAGGATAATATTATAATAGATCATATTAAGGATTACCTCATCTCCTCCCTTTCATTGATCCACTGCTGAATCACCGTTTGTGACGCAGAGTCCCGATGCACCTGCAACATAACGAAAAATACAGCTTCATAACTAGCCCAAAACTAGCCAAAGTGGAAAGGACATATGGACATGAAAATACGGAAATGGAAATGACATATAATGCAGTTCTTTTCAGTTGGCCGATATCATTCAAGTAAAAAAAAAAAAACACGTTATAGTGGTAGCTTATTAGTTATCAGCCAATATTAGAGATTTATTTAAATGTATTGGTCAATACTGAATATTTGCATGTTAATGTCTGCTTTTTTACATTTAGATTACCTTTATGGACTAACGCTCAAATAATAGCACATTTTAAATAGTTGTACAAAATAGTGAATTTTGGTAAGTTCATTTTGTTATTTAGAGCGCCCCTGGGTGGTCTGACCTGCATATGCTCCAGCAGTCCGGTCAGGGCCTGCAGCCAGGTCATGGTGTGGACATACTCCTCAGTATTCATGATTTTGATCTCTTTACGCAGCTCAGGAATGATAGCTCCTGTTCTCCAACCGTGTTTCAGGGTCAAGTCCTACACACATGATGACATTTTCATTACATCAACATTTGCATAATCTATTCATTGTCTTTGATATCAGTACAGAGCATGTTGAGACATGTTTACTTTCTGACATGCACATGATATTAATAAGACAGAACTATTGCCAATACTTTGCATATCCTAGAATCCAAAACGACGAATAAAGCAATAAAACTTTTGATTAGAAATAAACTTAAGATAATATACTAATATAAAAAGAATTGATAAGACATAGTTCAATGTTATTAAAAATGGATTGTGTTACCTAGTATCAATGTGTACCTCATTATCAAAACAAAAAGCAGTAGGGTTGTGTACGCGCAGAAAATGACAGAATATGATCCTTACGGCAAGGTCGCTGTAAATGTGATCTCCGAAGTACAAAACCTTTGATCCCCTCCAGCCTGTAAGCCGCAAAAACTCATACAGGTTTCCCTGGCAACAGAGTGAACAGATCAGATTCCGGCATCTTTACTGAATAGAAACAGTTCGCAGCTGAACAGCAGGGAACGAAATATTACCTGTTTATAGATCTGCCCTTTCTCAAGGTGGTGAATTCTGTCCCATAGCAACACGCCTTTATCAGTAACTCGTCTGAATGGTCTTCAGAAACCGGAAAAACACACACAAATACACATACTTTTTGAATTCAAAGAAGGTTGGCATGCCTAAATACCTCCTCAAAGGTCATTTGTCATGATTTAAACAAAGGAATCTGTGAGGGAGGCTGTAATTATGTCAGAATGGCATTGATTTAGGAGCGCTTCAGCGCTGCCAGGTTTAGCTGGCGCTTTCTCTGGGTTTTAGGAACTTACTTCCTCCTGTCATTGAAAAAGCCTGGCTTGTCGGCCTGCACTATGACAACATCGAACAGGTCCCGCCAGTCTTTACCAACTATGTAGTTCATGCCGCGATCTCTGAATAAAGGAATTAAAAGACATTTTATTTAAAACATGCATTTCATACGAGCAGTTAGTCAGAATGGCTTTGTATAAATTCTTAGTAAGGTGTCTCTCATGTCATGTGATATGCATTTTTCCTGTGCATTGATGTTTATTTTGACTTTTGAATTTAGTATCTTGTTTACACTTACACAAAATCAAAAGGGCTGTTCGTAATCAAAAACATCTTCTTTCCGTTCTTAGATAGCTTCCGTAAAACAGCATGTGTCTGTTCAGCGTAACAGATATACTTCTCTGCAGAAAGGAAAAAACAAGGTGTTACAAGAATATTGAAATTGTGTGATTCAATAATTACAAAAGAGGGGGTGAGGGGTACACACATATACATCATATGAAATAAAATAATAATAATAATAATAGTACTAGTTAATGATAAACTACATTAAATATAAATATTATTTTTACATCACATTTATTGTATATAAATGTTACATTTTATACTACATATTACAGAGTACATATTTATTATTATTACAATTTAAAACTATGTAATATATTAATAATATAACATCATACTTTATTATTAATAATAAAATAGATTAAGCATAAAATGCAATTATTATTATTATAGAGCAAACTGCAGATCTATATTATAAAATGTTATATGGTTTGTTACAGTACATAGTTATTATTTATTAATCACAATAATAATAATAATAATAATTCTATAATTAGATTCAATATAAATTAAATTTAAAATATTATTTAATTACTGCATATCAATATAATATTACACTTTATATTGTACTGTATATTACAGTATACTATTATTATTATTATTATTTAATTTGTGCATATTAATACTTGCTACATTGCTACGGTTATCCCCGCTAAATTTCGACAAAATTACGCTAATGTCATCACATTTTTTGGAAATCAAACAAAACTCTTGACAAGCAAAAAAGCCCAAGATTACAGACCTTGCCATAGAAGTCACTCATGATCTCGAGGGGTACATCGTAGCCTTCATGGTTTGTTACAGTACATAGTTATTATTTATTCATCACAATAATAATAATAATTCTATAATTATATTCAATATAAATGCAATTAAAAATATTATTTAATTACTGCATATCAATATAATATTACACTTTATATTGTACTGTATATTACAGTATACTATTATTATTATTATTATTTAATTTGTGCATATTAATATAGTAATAATTTTTATACAGTACTTTACAACACATATTTATCATTATTATTATTATGCAATTCCCCTCACTATGTCATGTTAAACTTTGATTTGTTCAGATCTCTCAAGCAGACATATTGCTATAATGAGGTCTTCATGCAGGTCCAGGTAAGAACTCTTACAAAAAAAGAAAATTACCGATATCAGCCTCTACCGCTCGATACATAATTCCTCTGACGTGGACGTCTCCTATGGCCTCCTGGGAATGGAGAAACAGACCAGATGCAGAATATCAAAGCCACACAGAGCCCTGACGCACTGCCAGACACCTCCTGTGAAAGCTCTCAGTCATTTCATCTGGGGACAGTCATATGTCCTTTGAGACTTGTTAATTCATAATTACGGCCAGGACTGAACGTAAGAGCAATGGTGTGCGTCTTTTATTAATTACACTGATCTTCAGACCCAATAAAAGACATTAGACCATCTGTAAGCCTGCTTTTCTCTAGGCACGTGGCACAGATGGTGCATCCAAACGGTTCCTCTAAAATTAGACTGTTCCATTCCATGCTGCTCACTACGAACTTAAATAGCACCTTCAGGAGCCATATTTATCCAAAATGTGTGCTCAAGAGATCCTGTGCTTTCTGACATCTGCGTTACCCTAAATACGACAGCACTCACTCAGTTTCCTTAGAAACTAATATCGGTGAAGGAAATCTTGATTTCTGATTCGTAAGGTGAGTCCTGCTCTGATACATGACACATTTTGAGGAACAATTGTACCTTGACGTCTTTATAAAGATGAACAGGCTCGTAGTCAATGTTGTGCTTCATGAAGTAGTCACTAACGCATGACAGCAGCGTCATTTCTGGCAGGGAGAAGATATCCATGAACTGCTTCATGGTGTGACCGTGAGAGCTCTGTATGGAGAGATTGAAAGAGCTATGTTAAAGGAGGTCATATTTACTGCTGTACTTCTGTGTGAGCTGTGCTTGCTACATTGCTACGGTTTTAAACCACAAACATATTTCATTACACCACATACACAAAATACTGTTCTTTTTTAGCAACGTCATATTACCCCTTTAAAAATCTGGTCATTAATTAGTCACCCTCATGTCGTTCCAAACCCGTAAGACCTTTGTTCATCTTCAGAACACAAATTAAGATATTTTTGATGAAATCCGAGAGCTTTCTGACCCTCCATAGACAGCAATGCAACTGACACGTTCCAGGCCCAGAAAGGTAGTAAGGACATCGTTAAAACAGTCCATGTGACATAAGTGGTCCAACCGTAATGTTATGAAGCTACGAGAATACTTTTTGTGTGCAACGAAAATGTGAAAGTATTCTTGTAGCTTCATAACATTACAGTTGAACCACTGATGTCACATGGACTATTTTAACGATGTCCTTACTACCTTTCTGGGCCTTGAATGTGGTAGATGCATTGCTGTTTATGCAGGGTCAGAGAGCTCTCGGATTTCATCAAAATATCTTAATTTGTGTTTTAAAGATAAACGAAGGTCTTACGGGTTTGGAAACGACATGAGGGTTAGTAATTATAGACAGAATTTTCATTTTCGGGTGAACTATCCCTTTAATAATAATATATAAAAATAGTAAAAACATCATAGTAGATGTTTGTTGCACTCTACCTGTACACTGTCCCCAGCTGGATATAATGAAAGGCATCAATCTTCATCAGTAAGGCCTAGTAACCAGATGAGATTGACAGGTTAGCCAGGTTACTTATAAAATTTTCATCTACAGTAGATCAGGACTGGACACGTACCTTTTGAACATCATAGTGCAGACCACGAATCACATAATATATAAAAACAGTAAAAACATCATAGTAGATGTTTGTTGCACTCTACCTGTACACTGTCCCCAGCTGGATATAATGAAAGGCATCAATCTTCATCAGTAAGGCCTAGTAACCGAATGAGATTGACAGGTTAGCCAGGTTACTTATTAAATTTTCATCTACAGTAGATCAGGACTGGACACGTACCTTTTGAACATCATAGTGCAGACCACGAATCACAAAATTCGGTATATAATCATATTCCCTCAGTCCCTCTGGATACTGTTATGTGGACAGAAAGAGGCAAGATATTCAGAAAACATTGATTTGCTGAAACTAAGTGTGTAATTTCTGTGCCACTTAGCAATTCTTACAAAATGTAACAATATTATATATACATAAATTAAGTCTTGGGTCACTCACCCTGTGCTCGTGGATGAGGATGTCTCGGGCGATGTTGAATATGAGTGTGTGAAGGTGACTGGAGTAGAAGGCCAGTGTGTAATCATAGTCAAAGCCATAGATCTCAATGTCTTGCAGACTCATCTGATTATTAGCAAAGATGGTGTCTGGGTTCACAAAGTTCTTTGATATCACAGGAATTAAATCTGTCGTGGACATAAAAAATAAGTGTGTTAATAAATAATTGACCCTTTAAATTCACATTTTTATTATGTTTGCTAAGTTTTAATAAATATAATAATTTAAAAAGGAACTAAAATGATTACCGATTAACCTGTAATGAGACATTAATTATGAAAAGTAAATCTTTGTATGTGAATATTCTCATGTAATGGCCAGTATTGTTGATTCCTAAAACAAAAACAATTTAAAATATTTGTATTAATTCAATTAATGAAAATATTAAAATAAAGCTGGAATAAAATAAAATGCACTAGATGAAAACATACATTTAAAGAACTTAAATGATAATTTGAAATGCTTCCTTCGGCAACAAACTGAAATAAAGTAAGTTGTAGTTGAAATACTAAAATTGCTCAGTTTGAAACTGAAATAAAAATGTATTCAAGCTACATATAGATTTACAAAATAATAAAAATCATATAACATCACCAAAACCTTAACTAAAACTCAAATGTAAAAATACAAATAAACGAGAATTTTAAATATATTGATAAATACTACAATAGTATGTTAATGTAATAATGACTAATGATTTAATTTTATAGTCCGAGCAGCTCTCTCTATATAAAATTTTAAATTATGCAGGTACATATTACAATTATAGAAGTAAATAAAACGTATTATAAAAAAACGGTTCTCAAGTACATAAATGTGACCCTGGAGCACAAAACCAGTCTTAAGTCGCTGGGGTATATTTGTAGCAATAGCCAAAAATACATTGTATGGGTCAAAATTATTGATTTTTCTTTTATGCCAAAAATCATTAGGACATTAAGTAAAGATCATGTTCCATGAAGATATTTTGTACATTTCCTACTGTAAATATATTAAAACTTCATTTTTGATTTGTAATATGCATTGCTAATTACTTCATTTGGATAACTTTAATATTTAGATTTTTTTTGCACCCTCAGCTTCCAGATTTTCAAATAGTTGTATCTCGGCCAAATATTGTCCTATCCTAACAAAAACCATACATCAGAGTAACCAGCATATATCATTTCAATAAATATAACTAAAATCTTACAGCCTATATAATATAATATAGTATAATGTAGGTTAATGCTAGGATAAAATAGAAATTTCATCACAGCTAGCTATCTTAAACGTAGCAGCAAATGAAGCATATGTGTGATTATATTTAAATACAGTATTATAATTCCCATATTAAGCTGGATAAAATCTGGAGACATATACTAACCTTGTTATGTTATAATCGAAATAACATTACAGGTTTTGTTGCACGACATTCGGCAGTAAAGGTTCTTGTTACGTCTCAAATGTTTGCTTTGGAAGTCTTAAATCACGTTTATCATAGGGAGTACTGAAATTGATGGTTTGTCGTAATTGCACTAAGTAATAATAAAATAATAATTAAATTGATTAAATGAATACTTTGTTCTACACGTATTTGAACACCGGTAATTTCAAGCACGCCATAAGATGCGTTTTATATAAAAATGTATGAAGAGAAAAAATACGACCCCTCCTTTGTAAATAATGGTCGAGTCCAACAATGTGAAGCCAGCCATTAGAAATTTATTGTATAAAAATATGGATTTAAATTCGGCACGAATGGTTGCTCGTATTAACGTTTTATCGTGTTAATTTTCAAATCACCATCTATAATAATTAGATAAAAAATGAAAAGCTTTGAATCCAAAAAACTATGTAACTATATCGTTTTACCATGCGTTAAACTAAGAACTTTTATTTTGAATTTAGCCTTTACCTTTGTTGACATTTTTACTTACACCGGCTGCATTCATCGTGTGTAGCATCATTTAGCTTTTACTTTTCTGCACTAAATATACTCAAATGTGCCAGAAAAGGTCTGAAGAATATATATGGCAGGTAAGATTCATAATCCTAACGCAGAAAATTATATCTGTATTTGAAGAAACGAGTGATTTTAATGCTTGTATTCCGTCAATGGTCCACACACAGCTCTTAGCTTATTGAGTGTAACGAGCTAGTTAGCTGCATCCTACAGTGCTGCTCATAACAGAGGTTGAATAGTCTTTGAAATATTTATGTTTTTAGACAAAATGAGTGTTTTATATAATCCTGTGACGTTTAATTGATAAGCTAAGCATAATGAAAATAGGACAGTAACAGAGGATTAAACAAAGGGAGGTGTGGTTTACCAGCTGGTATATCAGTAACATAAACATGAATATTAATCTATTAAAGTAAGACCACCAATTAAGATGGAAGAAAGGCAGTATTCATCTCTGACGGCCCCTATGGATTATCTTCAGTACTGGTGAGTTTGCCCAGCCCCAAAAGATCCCAAAAGAGTTGCTTTCTTATATGTTTTAAATAAATTAGTGATGTGTATACTGTGATTCCAACAAATGCTATCAAAATGGGATATGAAGGTGTATGGTATATGTGTAAACACTGACAAGAAAAAGATCAGATTATTGCCATAGGTTTTGAAGTAAGTGCAGTGTCTTTGTAATTTTGTTTTCTCAGGTATCAAACCAATTCTCAGCAGTACCAGGCAGAGCAGGTGCCACAGTACCACCAGATGGTTAATGCCGCCCAATACGCCGAGAGACCTGTGGAGGACAAAATCATGACTGATCTTTCAGTGCATCAAGATCCATATCTGGATCAACCTCAGCAGCTTCATCAACTCTCTGCCCAACCACCAGGTACTTTTGCATCCTCACAGTGCATTTAACTGGGATGTTTCTGCAGCTTATTAAACATCTGGTTTGCAGCCCTTCCGACGACTCCAGCAAAAGGAAAGAAAAGAGGAAGGCCTCCAAAAGGTGAAGGAAAGGAGAAGACGGAAGCTGAAGAGTCTGCCAAGAAAGCGAAGAGGATGTTAGATCGGTTCAACGGGATGTCAGTGGAGGAAGTCATGGCTAGAAAGCTGCCAGACATCATCACACATAATCTTGACATGCTGATTGTAAGTTTCTGGTTTATAAAGTCATCAAGTTTGATCTGTTTTTATTTATTCTATAAATTAAGTACATATGTACAGTTAGGTCCATATATATTTGGACACAGGCACAATGTTTATTTTTTCATCTGCTGACCAAAACATGTTCAAGTTACAATCCCATAATGAATATGGGCTTAAAGTGCACACTCTGAGCTTTCATTTGAGGGTATTCACATCAAAATGGGAGGAAAGGTTAAAGAATTACAGCTCTTTAATATGTAGCTCCCCCCTTTTTCAAGGGACCATAAGTAATTGGACAGTTGACTCAAATGGACAGGGGTGGGCTATTCTTTCATTGTTTCTACATCAATTAAGCAGGTAAAAGTTCTGGAGTTGATTCTAAGTGTGCCATTTACATTTGAAGCTGTTGCTGTGAACCCAAGTCACATGGTCAAAGGAGCTCTCAATACAAATGAAACAGACAATTATTCGGCTTCAAAAACAAAATACATTCATTAGAGAGATAGCAGGAACAATAGGAGTGGCCAAATCAACAGTTTGGTACATTCTGAGAAAAAAATAACACCCTGGTGAGCTCGGCAACAAAAAAAAGCCTGGATGTCCTTACAAGACAACAGAGGTGGATGATCTGAGGATCCTCTCCATGGTAAAGAAAAACTCTTTCACAACATCCAGCCAAGGGAAGAACACTCCCCAGGAGGTAGACGTGTCACTGTCAAAGTCTACAATCAAGAGAAGACTTCACAAGAACAAATACAGAGGGTTCACCACAAGGTGTAAACAAGGCCAGATTTGACTTTGCCAAAAACATCTAAAAAAGTCAGACCACTTCTGGAAAAGCATTCTTTGGACAGCTGAAATTGAGATCAACCTGTACCAGAATGACGGGAAGAAAAAAGTATGGAGAAGGCTTGGAACAGCTCATGATCCAAAGCATACAACATCATCTGTGAAACACGGTGGAGCAGTGTGATGGCATGAGCATGCATGGCTTCCAGTGGCACTGGGTTACTGGTGTTTATTGATGACGTGACAGAAGACAGAAGCAGCCGGATGAATTCTGAAGTGTATAGGGTATAGTACAAATGGACAATGACCCAAAACATACAGCAAAAGCAACCCAGGAGTTTTTGAAGGTAAAAAAGTGGATATTGTGCAATGGCCAAGTCAATCTCCTGATCTCAACCCGATTGAGTATGCATTTCACTTGCTGAAGACAAAACTAAAGGCAAAAAGACCCACAAACACACAATAACTGAAGTCAGCTGCAGTAAAGGCCTGGCAAAGCATCACAAAGGAGGAAACCCAGGCTCTGGTGATGTCCATGAGTTCCAGACTTAAGGCAGTCATTGCCTACAAAGGATTCTCAACATAATATTAAAAATGAACATTTTATTTATGATTATATTTAATGATTATACATTTGAGCCCCTGAATATGGAGGGACTGTGTATAAAAATGGTTGTAATTCCTAAGCATTTTATGTTTCTATTTTTGTTCAACCCCTTGAATTAAAGCTTAAAGTCTGCACTTCAATTTCATCTTAATTGTTTTATTTTTAATTCTGTCCTGGTGGCATACAGAGCCGAAATTATGAAAATTGTGTCAGTGTCCAAATATATATGGACCTAACTATTTTAAAGTTATTTTTATTTATATATTCATAATTATTATGGATTTTAAAATTAATCTGAATTAATACATATGAATAAATAGTAATATGACATTTTTGTTTGTTTGTATAAACTCGTTGCTACTTTTACAGATCGGCATCAATCCTGGACTTTTGTCAGCCTACAAGGGAAGGCATTATCCAAATCCTGGGAACCACTTTTGTATGTATTATTCAGCTTATTCTTTTGTAAAGGATGTTTATATATTTATGCTTGTCTTTTGATTGATTGTTGAATGTCTCACAGGGAAATGCCTATATCTTTCTGGGCTGACTGAGGAACAGCTCAACCACATGCATGATCAGACGCTTCCTGAACGGTATGGCATTGGTTTCACAAATATGGTGGAGAGGACAACACCTGGGAGTAAAGACCTATCAAAG